TCGCAGCAGGGTCTGGGCGTGGGGGGACGTCTGGCAAGCGTCTTGGATTCCTCAGCAGCTGCCTCACCCCGCGGAGAATTTCACCTGGCCTGGCAGTCAGGCAGCGAAAGGGTGGGCGGTGGCTTATTGGGGCTCTGCTGGCACATCAAATGACTGTGGCAGGGGACAGCCCAGGCACGCCCCTTACTCCCATAGGCTCTGGGCCAAGGGGGATCCGTAGGCGAACTGGGGGAGGGGGAGTAAATTGAAATGGTCAGATGCTTTACCCCCGCGGAGAATTTCACCTGGCCTGGCAGTCAGGCAGCGAAAGGGTGGGCGGTGGCTTATTGGGGCTCTGCTGGCACATCAAATGACTGTGGCAGGGGACAGCCCAGGCACGCCCCTTACTCCCATAGGCTCTGGGCCAAGGGGGATCCGTAGGCGAACTGGGGGAGGGGGAGTAAATTGAAATGGTCAGATGCTTTACAAAAAATGTTCTTCTTATAGTTGGGAGGGGGGGTAATTTTCTTCCTCTGGAATCTGGACCTTGAATCTATGTTCGGCGGTCTCCGACGGTCCCCTGGGAGGCTGGCTTGCCGAGAGCTAGTCCTTTATTAGCCACACTGTCGTTGCGCTCAGCAGCAGTCAGCCCAGGACTTCGGAAGGATCCAGCTCTCACTGCCAGGCTCCGAGGCTCAAACGAGACCGTTGCAATGTTACTGCAGGGTGTGTTGTGAACTCCTGCTACGCTGGGACCCCCTTAGCCAGGATCAGAGCCCCGGGGGCTGTAAACGCACAAAGACAGCGCGTGCCCTAAAGAGTTTACACTCTAGATAGAGAAAGTACGGTAGGGGAAACTGAGGCACGGAGCAGGAAAACGATTTGCTGACGGCCAGAGGCGGAGCTGGAAATAAACCTCCAGTCTCCTGACTCCCAGACAAGTGTCCTATCAGCCAGACCACCCTGTCATCTTATTTGCATAGCACCACCCACGTGTGTCATATGATAGCTGCCCTTGTGCTGCACAATGGATCGGGGCTGCTGGGAGGTGCTATCGGCAGCAATACAAATCCAGGGATCCAAGCCCCTAGGGAGGGGAGGAAGAAAGGCGAGCGTCCCTAGAGAAGGGCCTGGCTCCGTGGCGCGAAGCTGGATCAAAGCAAGACTGGAGCAAAGTTCTTGTGTGAATTCCAAGCCAGGAGGGGGCACTTCAGAGGGGGATATTGCAGCACATTCCCCGGGCAGCTGGCGCGGAGGCAGGGGAAGCCCGTGGTTGGGATCCACATCAATCAGCGCTGGCAGCCGAGCGCAGTGAAACAAAGCGGAGCTCACTGCCCCTTCCTTGCATTTGGTGTCGCTCGTCTCAGCAGCTTCCGTTCCCCTTTCCTGGCAGCCCCCGAGAGCAGTTGTCGAGGAAGTGGCTCCGGCCCCAGGCTGCTGAGCGACAGAGATCTGGGTGACTCCTAGCTTTAAAACTCCAGATCCTCCTTCTGTGGCATTACAGCGAAGGGTCGGAACAAGAGACGGCCAGAAGCAGCTTCCAGACTCACTTAACACAGAGCCTGGACTCTAACACCCCCCCCCTCCCCCCCGGTATTCATGTGAACCACCCAGCTCCGTGGGGCATTGCACAGGGGGCTGTTTCTTTCTGTGGCTTGTGAGGCGTCAAATCTTACTGCACCGCATCAACCCACAACCCCGCTGTGCATCCCCCCAGAGACGATCCCCCGAGCCAGGCCGCCTGTTCTGACAAACGCCCCACAAACCAACCGCTGGGCCCGTGGCGCACAAGGGCAGCACAGCAGGTAACCAAATATTTACCCTGCCCTCTGCACGTCAAAGGCCAGTCCCGCTGCTCAGCCAGAAGCCGAGTGATGAGAGATTCAGGCTTTCAAAACAGGCCGAGCAGCTGCATATTGAATTACCTGCGTGGAAGAGACTGTTTATCCATACATTTGATGAACCGGGCGCTGTAGTAAGCCAGATGTGGGGGAATGAGGAGCCAGGCAGACAGCCGTTTCTGGATAATAAAGGAGGAAATAAACAAATGTTAGCAGAGAACTAGGGGTGGAGAAAAGGAGGGCACCGTCAGAGCTTGCATGTGGAAGGCCTTGTCTTTGTGAGGAAATCGACCAGAATACTTATTGCCAAATAAAGGGTTGAGGAATAAGTCGGGGGGAGGGAGGCAGGTTATTCCAGACTCGTTACTCCTCCCTGGAAGCACACACATAATAGAGCAACTCCAGTTCTAGAATAGCATCCACCTGGGAGCAGAGCTATTCCCCAAGAGCCCTTGCAGAATACATTTCCCCCTGTTGGCGTTCCCTTCCTCCGGAGAGGATTGGATTTTAGCAGCCACCCACATCTGCCCCAACACCATCTGCGCCTACAATGGGATTGAAACTGAGGATGCGAATCAGGTGCCAGATACTTTGGGGTACAACCCTCTAGCGTGTAACCTTATGGTTTGGGCTCGGCTCGCCGGGCAGTGTAAACGGGCATAGCTCCAGTGAAGGCAATGAGACAACAGCCGTTCACTACTCAGCATGGTGGGGAGGATAAATACAGATGTGCAGGTCACGTGCTCACACACCACACTGGTAAGAGGTGGTGTCACCAGGAGGAGGGAGGAGAATTGTTCTCCTTGGCCCCTGAGGACAGGACAAGAAGCAATGGGCTTCAACTGCAGCGAGGGAGGTTTAGGTTGGACATTAGGAAAAACTTCCTGCCTGTCGGGGTGGTGAAACACTGGGATAAATTGCCCGGGGAGGTTGTGGAGTCTCCATCTCTGGAGATAGTTAAGAGCAGGCTGGACAGACACCTGTCAGGGATGGTCTATGGTGTTTGGTCCTGATGTGAGTGGAGGGGGCTGGAAGCCACCCTAGATAGGAAGGAAGGACCAAGTCCCTTCTTTGGGGGCAGCCCAGGCCTGTAGACCGTGTGTGTCGGCAATGCAGTTCCACCCGGGATAGGCTCCTAGTTGTAGAATACTAGACCTGGGAGGGACCTCGGGAGATGGATTTGCCCCTCCACCTTGGCTCCTGCTGGCTCTGTAACACCGGGAGCCGTCA